GATATGTGTAGATGAAGCTTTATATTCTCCTGGTTGATTAAAAACAATGTCAATCCAAGAGAGTTTATTTAGTATTTATTTTTAATATAAGTCAATAATTGTTTTCAATGTAAGGCCATTTTTTTGTGATCGTATAGTAGATATATTTAATTTTTCAATATTGGTTATACAGGGTGGTCCGAATTGTATTCCGGAAACTTCGGCAGCATATTTTGCAGATAAAAATAGGTAAAAAAGTTCGTATAAATGTGTCCTAAAATGCTTAGTTTCGGAGATACAGGGTGTAGAAATTTAATTTTTATTTCGATTTTTTCCAAATAATTTCTGAATTAACGTCAATATTAAGATGAAAATTGGTGTCTGGGAGTTTTTTGACATGAGAAATTTGGATTTTGATGTCAATATGACTCCTACTGGTAGACGGGCGCCACCTACATGTGTTTTAACTGTTCTGATGCGTCCATAACTTTTTGTCGACCTGTATAAAACTACCGAGGAAAAAATATACATGTGTGACTTTTTTTACGTAAAAAAGATCTCTTTGTAAAATCGCTTACAAGCAAAAACCGTTCTCAAGATATTTAGAACTGGAAATAGTCGAATAACATGCCATTATTGACGAACAATAAACACGTCGAGTATATAGTTAGGTGTTTTTCAAAAATATGCATTTTTAACAAATCGCTCTAACTTTTTTGCTATGAAAAATTTTGTATTTTTATGAAAACATTTCCTAAGCACCTTTTTACGTAGAATTTAATGGTTTAAGTATAATTTTTTTAAAATTAATAATTTAAGAATTATCAACAGAAAATTTGATTTTTTATATGGGACTCCCTGTATATTTTTAATTTATTGAAAATAGTTTAAAATTACCTTTCCAAAAATATAACACACTTGATATTTTGCTCGATTCCTCGTCGAGATATAGAGTATATAAAAATTCGCCCACTTTAAATAAGTAGGCTTTGAACGGCACCGGCTGTAATGCAAAAAAATTCTAGCTGCGAGCATCAATTAAAACGAAAATAATATTTGCTATGAGAGATGCAGACTTTTATAACAATTTAAAATATATTTAACCAACATCAACACATTTGGACTAGATCTAGTAACAATAAAAATAAATAGCAAACCAAGACATGAGATTTTGCTACAGGTGTTCGACATATCGACCATCTTCTGTTATGGACAGACGGGGCAGTTTTAATAACTAAGTATTTCTAATTTTTGTCTAGATTATACGGAAGAATAAGGGACCTTTATTCTTCCGCAAATATATCCATAGGATTAGATCCATGGGCACTAAGTCATGCGGCCTCGACGGCCAACGGCTGGGATCTTGGTTAGATATTCAATTATTCTTGAAATTGGCTGCAAAAATTTGCTGATAACTTCAGCGTTCAGAGGCGGTGCTTCGTTTTGCTGGAAAAATATGTTTTCGAGTTCCATTAACATCAATAAGGGGTCCCAAGCCTACTAGTTAAAACTGGCGAACTTTTAAAAATTCTGTATTTCGAAGGGGATTATAACAAAATATCAAGTGTGCTATATTTTTGGAAAGGTAATTTTAAATTCTTTTCAGTTCATTAAAAATATAGAGGGTGTCCGAAATAAATAAATTTTTCTGTTGATAACTCTTAAATTATTAATTTTACAAAAATTATACTTAAACCATTAAATTCTACGTAAAAAGGTGCTTTGGAAATGTTTTCATAAAAATACAAAATTTTCCATAGCAAAAAAGTTACAGCGATTTGTTAAAACTCCGAAACGGGAACAGATATCAATGTGCGGTTTCCACCATCATGTTTTTGATAAAAATTGAGCTCCAGACACCGATATTAGTTTTCGTCTATCTCCTATAGAAAAGGGTGTTTCCATTTAAAAGCGTCGAATTTGGTCCACCCTGTACACGGGACCTACAGTTTATTGCCGAATCCGAACGGCACTATTTGAGGGGCTGTACAAGGCAAATATACTCAAGGTGGTTTGCCATTGCCTTCCTTGAGGTGGCGGCTCGTTGGTCGCTCTATTTAGATAAATAAATATTTTTTATTTAAATAAATAAAACTACCGTACTGGCTGGGGATCGAACCCAGTACCTTGCGCTCCCCAGATCGACACACTAACGCTGGAGCTACGACCGGCCACACCCTTATCACTCATGGACATCAAGTCGTTTCGGGAGAGTATGGTAACAAACAATTTAAAAAAAGCCTCCATAAAAAAAGGGGTTGATGGTAGAAGGGTAAAAATTTAGAGTTGTGTGTATTTTTAATGCCAAATCATAAAAAAGAAAGAATAAAAAATTTTGTCCAAAAAATAAAAATTTGGGGTGGGCCACCCTTATCACTTAGGGGTATAAAAAATAGATAACAACTTATTCTCAGAGCTACTGAATATACATATAAAATTTCATCAAAATCGGTTAAGCCGTTTCGGAGGAGTATAGTAACTGAAACTGTTACACGAGAATTTTATATGCAATACTAACTTTTATAGGAATTTTTTATTTTACGAATTTTATATATAATACTATAACATACAAACTGGATAAAATTTTCTCACATTTATGTCAGCATGAGAAAAATCAATATGGCGATATTATTATATAACTTGGTAATAGTTGAGGGATAGTTTCATCTCGTTGGAATTTGACTTTTGAAAAATCCGCTTGCCAAAAATAATCTTTTTACGTCAAGCAGTTTAAGCAGAATCGTAGTTAAGAAATTACCCAACTTTTTGGAACACCCTGTATGATTTTTCAAAAAAATTCAAAATATGTAAAAAACCAAATAAATTTTGCTTGTCTAAGCATTTTCCCGAAAGACTAACCGTTTTTTAAATAACAAATATTGTAATAGGTAGTTAAGAAATTACCCAACTTTTTGGAACACCCTGTATGATTCTTTAAAAAATTTCAAAATATGTAAAAAAAACAAATAAATTATGCTTGTCTAAGCATTTTCCCGAAAGACTAACCGTTTTTTAAATAACAAATATTGTAATATTTGAGGGGCGTTTTCACCCTCTTGGAATTTGAGATTCGAGAAACCCCTCCTTATCGAACCTCTACACCCCACAGTTAATCCGTTTGCCAAAAATCAGCTTTAAACGTCAAGCAGTTTAAGCAGAATCGTGATTACTCAATGGTCATATTTTTATGAAACACCCTGTATAAATTTATAAAAATCTTAAAATATGTAAAACAACAAAAAATAAAATATACGCGTTTAAGAGTTTTTTCCGAAAAACTCACCGGTTTTAAATAAAAGATATTTTAATATTTGAGGGATAGTTTCACCCTTAGAATCTTGAGTTTCGAAAAAATCCTTATTATCGAACCTCTACACCCTAAAGTCAATCTGTTTTCCAAAATCAGCTTTTACGTCAAACGCTTTAAGCAGGATCGTGATTAATCAATGACCAGATTTTCGAAACACCCTGTATACATTTTTAAAAATCTTAAAATATGTAAAAAACAAAATAAAATATACGTGTTTAAGCGTTTTTCGGAAACTTGACCGTTTTTTAAATAAAAAATATTGTAATATTTGAGGGGTGGTTTCACTCTCTTGAACTGGAATTTCGAAAATCCCTTCTTATCGAACCTCTACACCCTAGAAATCAACCCTGTATGCCAAAAACTGAGCTTTTTACGTTGAGTGGTTTGAGCAGGATCGTGATAATCAGTATGTCAGTCACTTGGGGTGATTTCTTCGAACAAATGCGGTAACTTCAGTATTCTTGTTCCATAAAAGGTAGTTTGTTTCATAAACGTTGGTGTTCAAAAAGTCAACCATTAGCCATTGATATCGCGGTACAAAGATGGCGGAAAAATAATGTTTTTTTTTTTAAAACGAAAACAAAAGAGATAGTCAATGAAATTTTATGGAAGCATTACTGTGCCACGAAAACACAGCTTTCTGGTATTTTTTCATTTTTAAAATGAGTGGAAGGGGTTGAATAAATCTACCCTTATCATTCTTGTTAACGAAATAAGAAAAATCTTATCAAACACATGCAAAAAAATTGATTTGGATAGCTTGGTTTATTTAGAAACTTTTTTTATCTCTTGTGTTTCTTTGATAAAACTCGCCGATTTGAAATTAAAAAATAACATGTAAAGCATTTATAGATAAAGAATCTAGTGATAATAACGATAATAATAAGAATCTAGATAATAACGTATTGCAGTAGAGTAATGTCAATAAAATAATATTAGAAACATCCTAAAAAGTGACAGCGGCCGACTAGATTTTTTCCTAAAAAAATTAGAGCAGCCCACTAGATTCTTTATCTAAAAATGTTTTTTGTCCTGATATGTAATGCTTTACATTTTATTTTTTAATTTCAAATCGGTGAGTTTTATCAAAAAACCATAAGAGATAAAAAAGTTTCTAAACAAACTAAACTATCCAAATTAATTTCTTTTGCACGTGTTTGATAAGCTTTTTTTTGAAACAAGAATGATAGGGGTAGTTTATTTCAACACCTTCCACTCATTTTAAAAAATTGAGAAAATTACCAGAAAGTATGTTTTCATAACAGTAATGCTTCCATAAAATTTCATTAGTCTATAGTTTTTCGTTTTCAAGATAAAGAATAAAAACATTATTTTTCCGCCATCTTTGTACCGCGATATCTCCCTAATGGTTGACTTTTGACCCAACGTTTATAAAGCAAACTACCCTTTATTTTGAACAAGGAATCACCCCCTGAAGTTTTTCGCATTTGTTTTGAAAGACCCTGTATATTAGTATAGATGTTAGATAATATAGCCAGTTACAGCAGGTATGTCCTCTTTATTTATATTATATATAACTAAAAGATACTCTCACCTGAAAAGTGTCGTGAGTTTCTTCGAAAAAACTGCCGTGTCCCCAGATAAAGTACATCTATGATACTTTTATTACCAACTTAGCAACTGCCATCAATTGGCCTTATTTTGACTTGAATAAGAGGAGCAGATAATAATACTAAATTTTTCTTTTCAGATTGTTAAGCATTTGCCCAAAAGCAGTGACATAATATGCGGTACCGTAGACAAGGAAAAGGTCTACCGAGAAAAGGCTTCCCTGTTTGTTAGAAACCACAGCGAAAAATGGCACCCCACCAGCTTTTCTGCAGGAAGAGAGTTTTGTTGCAAAGACTATGCGCCAGTAAAATGTTCAGAAATGTCCTAAAAATTGACAAAGATAAAAATTACAAAAAATAACTATATATTTTTGTTTGTTTAGTATTACCAGTGTATCCACTGCCAACTTCATCAAAATAAACCATTTGATTGGTTAAAAAGTACTGGTATAAACTTTTCGATAATAATTATCAAACTTGTAGTTACCTATAAAATGTATAAAATTACAATAAATCGGAAAAACAATTACTATTAAAGTAAATTAGAGGTTAACAGAATATTCTAGGAACTTCCTAGGAAACATTTTTTAGACCATTTCTCTCATGGAACGAAACGTCTATCGTCGCCCATTCCTTTATTCTTTTTCTTCCTTTTGCATTCTCTGGGGTGAAGCAAGGAGGAGTCAAACGAAACAACATAAGCTTTTACACGGTGGGCTAAAAACATAGAACTTGTAATTTTAAAGAATTAATAATATATTTTTAACTCTATAAACAGCTTCTCAATTATAGTTCTTACTTTATCTATTTTCATATGGATTCTATGCATTGGTGTTTACAAAAATTAGCTTTTTTATTTTTATACTTCTATTTCACTTACGAATTACCAAATGCAGACCTTTTGACGAAATAGACCCAACACAAAGCAAGAAGGTCTTCTTGTAAGCCTATAGAATGTGGTGTCCCTGAGGGTTCAGTACTTGGCCCTATTTTGTTTCTGGTGTTTAACAACGACATTGCAAATCTAGACATTAGCGGTAAAATCTACCTCTTTGCGGACGATACTAGACAGATTAGGTATCCTATAAGTATGCAGATAAAAATCTTGTCCCTAATTCGTGGTACGAAAATTGTTTTTTATGACGATTTGCAAACGAGTCAAATTTCCTGTGCGCAAAAATAAACTCGCGTAAAATAACAATAAACAGCGTAATAGAGAGATATCGCTAAACCGAATAGCGTGCATGGACGTTAATAAGGCCAGGTGTTATTTCCTTTACGTGAGGCGGTATTAACTGTATTAACTCTCTTCATTTATAGTTATCGGATCGGAAAGAGTTCTTCGAGATCGCGTCGCGTCCGCTATTTAAACTTAACCTAACTTTGAATTTAAAACTTTGAAATTGTTCTGTTTACTAGGTATTTTAAAACTAAAGGGCTAAAGTGCTTATTTCCAGTGCTTTATTGTTCAACGTCTGCCAGTGGGTTTAGAGCAACAAGCAACAAATTCTCTTAGAAGGGCTAAGTCGTCATCTGCTGTAAACCTATTAAGACTCTTTATAGGTTCTTTAGAATTGGAAGAGGTGGAATCTATATTTGGGCCATATTTATTTAATTAAAACTAATCCCAGCTACTTAAATATCAAATTACCTAATAAAACTAAAGCAATAATTCAAAACAATTCAAACATAACCTAAAATAAAAGATCTCGCCGGCCGGCTCCGGTTGTCAAATACCTGCACATGCCCATTTAAGCAATTTGTAAACGTTATCAGAGGTTATTTAGAAAGAGCGCTTGGTGTAATTGATCCGCAAATTACGTCAGGCGGTAACGTTATTAGCGAGTGTTGCACTAAAAATTGACTCGCGCATATCGTAACCATGATAAGGTACGCGTAAATACTGGATGACGCTATTCGGTTTTCCGATATCTCTCTAATAAGTGTGCCGGTCAGGCGCTGTGCACAATTTTAGAGGCCATAAGTGGGCGTGCTATGTGCGCAAACTAGTCACCTAACTAGTGCCCGATTCCGAAACTTGGAATCACGACAATAAAGAAAAAACAAAGATTATAATCTGTATAATCTGTGATACTAGTTTTACCTGGAGCGGCCAGCGGCCCAGATGTTACGGCACTATATAATACTATATCCAGTGATTTACGCACCATTAAATCTTGGTGCGATTCTAATCTCCTATGCCTCAACCTATCAAAAACTAAAGTTTTGTCATATAAAAGTACTATACAACATTTTGTACTTAATAACACCACTATGGACGCCGAGGACACTATGAAATTCTTAGGACTTATGGTGGACAACTCGTTAAAATGGGATTTGCACATCGAAGCTTTATCAAAGAAACTAAGCGCTGCCTATTTTGCGCTAAGATCTGTTTCTAATGAACTTAACTTATCAACCTCTAGAATAGTCTATTATGCCCTTTTGAGTAGCATCTTCGTTATGTCCTTTCATTCTGGGGTAATTGCTGCGCGACAAAATTTGATCGTATTTTCAAACTTCAAAAGAGAGCAGTTCGATATTTATTGGGATTGAACAGTAGAACTCACTGCCAGAATTTCTTTAAAAATTTCAAAATTCTGACTCTTCCTTCTTTATTCATTTTTGATCCGTTTGCTTAATCCGCAAGCACATATCTGCTATTCCCGAAAGGCCATCTCATAGCTATCCACTTAGGAATGCGGAGCACGATCTTTATCTGCCAACCCCGAGCTCAGAACTAATTAAACGCTGAACATTGCAAAATAAAACACTGAACATTGTACAATGCCAAAAAAATGTACAATCATCTGTCTTTGAATATCAAGTCGTTTTCATTCTTTCCCGCATTTCGCAAAGCTCTGAAATTATACTTACTGGAGAGAGCCCTATATGCGATAAACAACTTATTTGTTGATGTTTAATCATGAACAATTTTGAATTTTAAAATTTTGATCACTCACACACTGGTTAAAAATCTAGTATTTAATATTTTATGGACACGCCTTTTTTGTGTTCTTGCAATGTCCATGTATTAATGTACTAATTTTAATGACGCAAATTTCTTTTTGAATTGTATGATTTGTATTGTATGCTATTTTTTATTATTTGTATATTTTTTGTGCTTTTGTTTGTTCTGTACATGCTTTGTCGATGAAGCCAATTTGGCTTTTTGTACAATATAGTGTTGTTTATTATTATTATTATTAAAGTTAAAGAAGCCATTTATGATATTCGTCTTATGATAATAGTTATAGATTTTTAATTAAGCTGTTGTTTTTAAAAGTGGTATAAGTCCAGTTTAAAAAAAATGAGTTAATGGTAATTTCAGCAAGACATAGCCACATTCTCTCCATATTTATAGACAATTTAGAATCATACATTCAATGGAGTACGATTTTTTTATAAAGTCAACAAAGTAATTTTGACTAAAAAATGATATAACAAAATTTTTTGTTTGAAAGTGGAACTGTCGTCAGTTTTCTAGACGGTCTTCCGTTTTAACTGACAGAAAACGATATGTGCAGATGCAGCTTTATATTCTCCTGGTTGATTAAAAACAATGTCAATCCAAGAGAGTTTATTTAGTATTTATTTTTAATATAAGTCAATAATTGTTTTCAATGTAAGGCCATTTTTTTGTGATCGTATAGTAGATATATTTAATTTTTCAGTATTGGTTATACAGGGTGGTCCGAATTGTATTCCGGAAACTTCGGCAGCACATTTTGCAGATAAAAATAGGTAAAAAAGTTCGTATAAATGTATGTCCTAAAATGCTTAGTTTCGGAGATACAGGGTGTAGAAATTTAATTTTTATTTCGATTTTTTCCAAATAATTTCTGAATTAACGTCAATATTGAGATGAAAATTGGTGTCTGGGAGTTTTTTGATATGAGAAATTTGGATTTTGATGTCAATATGACTCCTACTGGTAGAGGGCGCCACCTACATGTGTTTTAACTGTTTTGAAGCGTAATAACTTTTTGTCCGTACCTGTATAAAACTACCGAGGAAAAAAATATACATCTCTGTAATCTTTTACGTAAAAAAGATCTCTTTGTGAAAATCGCTACAAGCAACCGTTCTCAAGATATTTAGAATGGAAATAGTCGATACATGCCATTATTGACGAAAAATAAACACGTTGAGTAGATAGCTATTTCACTGAAATAATAAATTTGGGAAATTTTTATTTTTTTAAATTAATCATATTTTTTCTGCAAAAAAATGATGATAAAATTGTTTTTGTTGAACTTTTGGTACAAAAACATTTCAAATTTATGATCTCAGTCTAATAACTATTTAGTCAACATGTTTAATTTATGTCAGTGATGTCAGGTATTGATAATTTCGATTCCAAATATCTCGAAAACCATTACTCGTAGCGATTTTTACCAAGAGACCTTTTTTACGTAGAAAGCGTCCTAAATGTATATTTTTTTACTCAGTAGTTTTATACAGGTACGGACGAAAAGTTATTACTCTTTAAACCAGTTAAAATATATGTAGGTGGCGCCCTCTACTAATAGAAGTCATATTGACATCAAAATCAAATTGCTCATGTCAAAAAACTCCCAGACACCAATTTTCATCCAAATATTGACGTTACTTCATAAATTATTTGGAAATAATCGAAATAAAAATGAAACTTCTACACCCTGTATCTCCGAAACCATGACAGTAAGACCCATGATTACTTATGGAGCAGTTGCCTGGTACACAAAACTAGAGCAACGGACGGCAAGGCTAAACCTATGCAAAGTCCAGAGACTAGCATGCGTTTGCATCACAGGAGCCATGAGAACCTGTCCAACAGCAGCAATGGAGCTCATTCTAGATCTAACACCACTGCACATTGTCATTGGTAGATATGCCAATGCGACAATGATTAGAATGGTCACTAACGGAATTAGTACTGGGAGAATTGTCAGATCAGGGGCTTGGAACACCGTCATAAAGGAAATACCACTCCTGCAACTCCCAGTGGACGATATGCCAAGAACGTACAACTTTGAGAAATATCTCAATGTAGTATTGAGCAATAAAAAGGATTGGAAGAGCGAAACGCTTGCCCAGCAGTTAAAAGACCATACCATAACTTGGTATACTGATGTTTCCAAAACCAATACGGGAACAGGGATCGGAGTGTTTGGGCCGAGAGCTAAATACTCCGAACCAATGGGCACTTACCCTAGTATCCTACAGGCAGAAATCTACGCTATCGAAAGATGCGTACAACTTATCTTAGATAGGAACTATCGGAAACAAGAAATAGCCATCTTGTCTGATAGTCAAGCAGCGTTAAAAGCGATCAACTCAGTATCAATCAATTCGAAATTGGTCAAAGAATGCATTAGAAGCTGAATAAATTAGGCAAAGAAAACAAAGTCCTCCTATTCTGGGTGCCTGCTCACCAAGGGATAGAAGGCAATGAAAAAGCAAATAATCTAGCTAGGAAAGGAGCGAACACTCCACTAACTGGACCAGAACCGTTCTGCTTTCCAAGTGGTAACCAACTCAAGGC